TGACAGTTTGCCAACCTTCTTTCTCCTGTTGTAATGACGCAAAATTCATTTCATACTGAAGTACATCCTTTTTTGAGTTTAGATTCTCTCGCCTGTTTTCGCGAAGCCGTGACGTATTCATTTCATTTAATGAAATCATTTGCCAGTGATTTTGTGCTGGTTGTATTCATGAGGTTATTTCTGCTCTAAGTTGACGGTAAGGTGTTTCAGACAGCTGAACTTCATTATGAAGATGAACCGTATTTTGCGAACATCCCGATTCGAGATAGATGCCAGATAAACTAGCGAATTACTCTTCCATTCTGTGTCATCGTCAAGTGTTGAATTCGATGATTTTCTTATCCATCTTCTCATATTTAAGTCCTTCGCCGTTCTTGACATCTCGTGGTACGCGCACCTGTTAGATTTCGAATGACTAAGATCAGGTGGAAGGTGGTGACTTATCGTTTTCGCTGATCAGCTGGCTTCCGCCTTGTTTTACGATTTTGTGCCCAGTCATTCGCGTGATTCACTCACAGCAGCTTTTGTGTAGTCCAGCCCGTTGCCAGCTTGACTCAGTTGACGCAGTTGTGCGATAAGTTATGACGATGATCACTGATCAGGCGCGAGGCGATTCAGCTTTGTTTTGTGTTCTTGCGCGTTTAGGTTTTTTTCTATACTTTGCTGAATTAATGTTGTTTCGCGGTTTCTACTGCTTCTGCTGTTCCTTTTTGTGTAGGCGACTCGTTTAGGCTTGCTTTGCAATGCTGTGACAACGACAACGCGTGGTCTTACGGCAAAACACTTCCTAAAACGGGTCTTGTTTCCTCATAAGTCTGGAAGTCAGAACATGAATAGCTCAGTAAGTTCAAAGTTTGCTTGTTTTGTTATTCATTCAATAAAGCTTTCAAAGACCTGCCTTCCTATAACTGTCTCTTTTGGTCTTTTCTTTATTTAATAATTGCTTATATTATGTTTCTGATTGCTATAATTTGTTAAACAACTGATATACGGTTTTTTGATATGGGTGCTTAATCTTTTCAGTAAAATAGCACCAAGTCAGTTCAATAACTTCTTAAACTCATCATCGATACCGCCGTTTGGTGTACATATCTAAGCGGACACCTTCTCTGACTCTATAGAAGTAACATCATATAAGATCTTAAATGGAATTGGTGGCTTCGACAGAAACTTTCATGCCACAAAAGCTCTGATTTGAAATTAAATTTCAAAAATTGGTTGAAGCAAATAATTTTTCTTGTTTATTGTTTAAACAATATAGAGGCCGTGTACAGCAGCGTGTCCACTCTCAAATCCGGAGCA